TGAACCTTGTGATTTTTTTCCAGCATTAACACAGTCAATTAACATTTTTTGCAGGGTCTCCTTCATCTCCAAAGCCAAACTGTTTAGCCACACCTGACAAAGAGATGAAAAAAACCTCAAAAGTTACATTACAAAATAATTTCTCCAAGACGCTTGAACTATACTTGGATGTGATTTTCTTACCTCCACATCGTTTGACAGAAGAACTTTATTTCTAAGTGGCACAGTTTCTCCTTCTACAGACTTCATGGCAACTATGTATTTAAATTCTTCATCAAAGTTCACACTATTAATGCCTATTAATCAGAAAACAGCAATGAAATTATATATTGTTAAAGTCAAACATTAATTCCTTAGTGTCTAGTAGCAGAAAGAGAGAAAAAAAAAGTCTGCAACAGATTATTTAGCTTTGAAGAACCTTATTTCTAAGTAAGTGTATTTCACAAATGAAGATTAATGCATTACCAGCAAAAAGTTTCTTAAGATGAGACTGGATAACCAGAGGATTTGTGGACTGTCCTAAAATTTCTAATAAGTCATCATCTCCAATGAAATAGAATCTTGGAAATGCTGAGCGCTTTTCCTATATAAAAACAAAATAAATCAGTTTTGTTGATTTAAATTCAAACTTATTGACTTACTTTATGGAAAACTATATTAATGTCAGCTGTACCTCCAAAAATTCATTCAAAGATCTTTGACATCTCTGAAGCTGGTCAAGTATGGTAATTAAGGTGTTTCTTATTCCTGTCCGGGCATTCAGTGATGTTATCCTATTGTCACTTTTGATATCTGACATAACAGACCTTGACAGAAAAAAACGGAATAATTCATAAAACAACCATTACAATTTTAATCTAAATATGATACACAAGTAGTTATGTAAACAAAAATTAAAGCAGAGGTAAGTCATATAAATATCTGACATATAATTTCCAGTTTTCAGTATTAATGATGAAACATCTCAGAATTTTCATCAATGACTCTCCAATGTAATTAAATAACAACTGTTTCTTGCTAAAATCTCTCTACTCAAAACCAAGAAAATTCAATCCTTGACTTTTATTTCCTTCTAAGTAGTCATTTTAACTCAAATCAACAGATAATGGTACGTATCTTTCTACATTTCTAAAATCTCCTCCCTTTTTATCTCCTTGACTTGTTTGGAACAAATAAACCATCTGTTTCTCCCGAAAGTCCATCTGTGTACTTTCTTACTGAACAAAGTACTCATCTTCAACAAGAAATGATTCTTGAAAAAACAATTACATCACCTCTCCTTCTGTTGACAAGACTGATCTCGTCTTTGCATGCCTTGTTCATGATCTTTGATGTTTCATGTTATTCCCTTCTTCACATGTACCTCATTAAATGAAACCTACATTACCACCTTTATTCAGATCTATGTCACTGCCACACATCTATATCTACTGAATTCCTGTTGCTGACCTTCATCTCCATACATATTCCAATTGTTCCATATATTTTCATCATGAAGAATGTTATAGCCTACACATGTCAAAGATACTATAAAAAATAAGTCACGTTGCATAACACTAACCTAAAGTCCTCATCAACTCTGTTAAAACGAGGCTGTTCTTTGGGTAGAGCTCCACGACCGAATATTGGTTCCAAATAGACCCATTTCCTTTGAATTTGGTTTAAGTTCTGCAGATACTCATCCAACTCAGCCAGCTTTTTTTCCCAGACGGACACTTTATCTTCAAAACCTTTGTAATATGGAGAGTCTTTGAGGGACTGTAGGAGACAGCGATGATCTCCAACTTGGTTGACTATGTCCTTCCAGTCTTTAATAAGCCTGATAGTCTTGCCTTGGCTATCTTCATAATCTGTTAATGTAAAGACAGCTCCAACTCCCCAGAGTTCAAGCTCACGTAATGCTTCTCTGATTGTGACTTCACCTTGGGCTCGACAATTCAAATCCTATTTAAAAGCATAAATAGATTTCATTTGAAACTATAGAGCTTGAAACAAACTTTCCATTCAGAAATACAATGTAAATTGTATTTCTATAGTAATAAAAATACAAATATGCATACAGAACAAGATACACTACATAAAATAAACCATAAAATACAGTGCCTTTATTGGAAAGTACTCATACCTTAAGTTCTGTTGCTTTTTCTATAATGGCATCAGTCACTTTTAGCAGATCTCCAAATAATAAACCCTCAAGTGTAGTGCCTCGGGGAAGACCCAGAAGACGAAAGAGATCCAACCAATGGTCTGGAGAAAGATGTTCTCCTCTCACATATTTTAGAAGTGGAATTATTGTCTATAGGAAAAACGCGTATGTAAATCCATCTAGTCTTTATTAAAATTGTATCTGTTTGATTAAAGAGGGACGTGCTATTCAAACAAAACAAAAATTTACATTCTTAAACTGAAGTACTATTTTTTTTTCCAATTCCTGGATTTAATGGTTAGGAGTGTAACTCTGAGGAAAACTCATTGCTAAATATGTGTCTGTGTAAACTGTAATGACCCTCCTGTTCACTGTAAGGAAGTAAAACATTCTCAAAAGTGAAATATTCAGAACAGTATCAGAACGTATTTTGTTAAATTGTTAACTGATTTCATTATGAGAACTGAACAATGAGCTACAGAATGAAGTATATTACCCAGTAATACCAAAAGATTTTTTGTTTTATACCCCTTTTTGTAATTAGCATCTTACTTTATATTTGTCCACTTCTTTTTGCAACTTTACTGTCATTACAGTATGTTCTTCCATCTTCCTCATTTTGTCATGCCAGCTAAACAAAAATTCTTCAAATAGGTATGTTTTACTCCTGCATGAAAATCAAATATAAAAAGGTCATAACAACACAGTACTACAACCACACATACATGTCCATGAAAAATAAAGTAACTGTCCTGGTTTCAGCTCAGATAGAGTTAATTTTCTTCCTAGTAGCTGGTACTGTGCTGTGTTTATGGACTTTGTATGAGAATAATGTTGATACCACACTGATGTTTTAGTTGTTGCTAAGTAGTTCTCACTCTAAGCCAAGGACTTTTCAGTTTCCCATGCTCTACCAGTGAGTAGGTGCATAAGAAGCTGGGAGGGAGCACAGCCAGAAAAACTGACCCAAACTGGCCAAAGGGATATTCCATACCATAGAATGTCATGCCCAGTATATAAACTGGGGGGAGTTAGCCAGAAGGTTCTCATCACTGCTTGGGGACTGGCTGGGCATCA